AGCGACACAGCGCGTTTCAACTTCTGTGGCTGCTTCTGTGTGTAGGCTTACGATGCTGAGAGCCATCTGACATTTACTGTCACAATAACTCCCCAACTATTGCTTAGCCAGGGCCATCTGCTTTTAGACTTTATTTGTCCTTTGGTCTCTCAGCCCTTTCTACTTATATTATGTCTCATAAAATCAGCTTTGCTTCTGTTACTTGATGCTGCCTTTTTGTCCTGTTGGGTCGAAGTGGCTTTCGTAATGGGATTGCATGTTTGCGTATACCTCCAAGCTACAAGTAAGCAGCAGAGGCATAGCAATGTCTTTATAACTAAAAACTCCAGCGCATCCAGCCAGAGCCATTTCCATAAGTGCATGAACACAGACACGCGTCTTGTCTAGAAGTAGCTGACATTTCTACTCCTAACGTTTTTGCAGAGTACAACGCCTGTGTGCAAAAGTGCACATGCCTATTGTGCAACTCCCTAAAGCCTGAGCTAGGTTTCAGACTGTCGCTACAGATGGGCATCCCTTGAACTGATGATATAAGAGCCAAGGGACAGAAAATTGGCTTTCAGATCCCACGTAACCAGCAATGTGTGTATAGTAGCTGGTAGTACAGCAGACTGCTCAGGAGGGAGCCAGTAGCTGCTTGGCTTGACTTCTAAAGCCTTTCTGTACCCATTCTTACCCTCAATACAGTCCATTTCATGTTATCCTTATGCTGAGTCTTGCTTTCAGCCTCTTGGTGATGTGCCCTGGTTGCTCAAAATAGTCAAAATATTTAGCCAGTATCCTTGAAATTTCTCCCACGCTGCCTCTGTGTTGTTAGAGCTCCCTCGTCACCCTCCTAATCCCTCTTTCAGTTTTGATGCATACAAAACCCTCTGCAGAGCTTAAGTTGCTGACGAGCTAGAATAGTTTTACGTGATGCTGTTCCTAATTGTGAATCTATGGTATGCCTCTTTTCTACTTTTTTTTTTTTTTTTAAACCCCAAGATCTCTGGATAGCTGTAAGGTCACTGGTACAGTGGGTACATGATCCCTCATTGGTGTCCCTTAGGCACTCTGAGGTACAGAGGTACTAATAATTAGGAACCCTACCTGTAAGAGTGCCTGGCTCTACACAGTGAGCCATCACCTCCTATTTGATAGCAACCCCACTGTAGTATTTTTTTACATTAAGCAACGCCTCGCTATTTTTAGTGTTAGATCCAACTGTCTTAAAATTATCAGGATGGAATACAGGCTTACATAAGAGCCTTGCATAAACAAAAGTTGATCCCTGTTTATGGCTAGGTGGCTAAGAAGTAGTAATTGAAAGTCTAAAGTAACATCTTATTCTTGCATTTACAAAAATTGTTCTTTAACACTATCACATTTAGATGACAAAATCTGTTGCATTTCCCCTTTGATTTCAAAGACAATGTCTGAGGTGTTAGGAATAATGATTAGTTTGTCGGTAAGGAGAATAGACATATGGTGAAGACATGGATCCAAGCCTAATTGAGTTTAATAAGGTGTCTGTGATATGGACTTTTTCATAAATGCCCTCATTTTTAATGAGGGCACTCCTACATGTAAAAACTGCACTGAAGTTCAGCTGGGTAGGTTCAAAAACTTCTTTCAGCTAAGGTAGGACAGGTGTTGGATGTTCTTTACTCCATGTCAGCGTGGCTGATGCTGCTCTGTTTTATTTCAGGAGTAAGTCGGTATGAGTCAAACCAAAACAAGCCACGCGGCAAGGCAGAGCTTTCCCAGCAAAGCTCGTGTTACCCAGTGCCTTTGCGCAGTGTCATGTGCAGCCAGGTCCCTTGCCGTGTCCTGGGGAGTGTCACAGGCTGACACGTTCTTTTCTGTCTGCTTCTAGCATTTTGCCCTATTGGATGTTTGGGGAGATTCATTCAGCCCGATGTTTACAAACCCTCACTGCCGGGACCTGAAGGAACAATTCACCCGGGTTGTCCGGGTGCTTTTCTTGTTGTCTAAGCGCACGCTGGCAACATGGACAGCAGAAAGGCCCTCCGAGGTCCCAGCGGCACCATGACGTGGGGCTCTTTGGGCGCGCTCTGCCTGTGCCGCGTGCGTGCCTGCTTTATCCAGCAAAATACCACTTTGGCACTTGTGGTTCTCTGTGCAGTGCTGGATTTAGGGTAGGAAACGCCATGGGAATGAACAGTCCTGAAGGCAGCAATCGGAAATTTAGGAACAAGGTAACTTGTAGGCGTTGCTAGAATGCAATGCATCTTTTGCTTCTACGAGTGACAAGGTGTCCCTCCTGTGTTTACAGTTTCTGTTCTTAAATTTTATAAAAGTATTGAGGTTCATTAGCATCATAACATACCTGAAAGGAGTTAGTTTCCTAAATGCTGGCATTCTGTGAGTACAAGCAGGTAAGCAGTAAAAAGATTTCATTTAGCTTTGGAATTTATCTTTTTCACATTGCTCTACTTAGATATAGAAATACTTCAACAGTATTCGATCATACACCTGGTTGGCTGAGACAGCTGGAAGTGTTCTTTGTAAACAGTACTAGCTGCATGCATTGAGTTAGGAACAGGTGATTCTTATGTCATGAAAAGCAGTAATAAAATAGACTAATTCTGTTGCTCATCAGTTATGAGTGTAATTTTGGAGTTAGGCATTCATTGTAAGGCAGTCACTTAACGTTTGTGCTTACCTATCTGATATCAGAATCTGTAAATTTGTTATAGACGTTAAGACAAAACCATTTTATTACTTGTCAAAAATCAGGTGACCCTATGCAGTCCTGTGGAAAGGTCTCTGGTGCTAACTTTTGTTGGACATGGGGTCAGCAGGTTACTTGGAAAATAAGAAAATAAGAATGACTGGAAGTGAGTGGCACAGAAGTGCCACAAGTTGCACGGTGAATCTAAGTTTACTTGAGGTGAACTTTCTAGCAGAGGTCCCTGGTCTCGTGGATGAATAAAGACAGAGCGCCGAGCTTATTATGCCGGTTCTAAAGCAGGCAGCGGTGACTACTTCAGCGGAGATCAGATTCTCTCTGCGAGTGTCTATTGCAAAGCAGTGTGAATGGCTTTGATCCCTGGTTGGCAGGGTTATCAGCAATATTTCTGAGTTTCAGAAAACCTGGCTGCGTATCACATTGTCACTGCTGCATCCGTGCTCACGGACAACGTCCTGAAGGGCAGCCCTCCCCGCTCAGGGCTTGCTGATGGTTAGTGCTTAAATCCTTTTGGCTCAAAGGGCACCGGCTGGGCCCGCCAGGCTGGCGGGCTAACCGAGCCTTTCAGTCTCGCTTTTGATAGTGCTGTTGTAGACGCTCCACCAATGCAAATTTTCCTGGCTTCCTGTGTTTTTGTTGTGAGGAACTTGCGTGATGTGGAATAACGTGTCCACTGCAGAGGTAAAGCTAGTCATAGGCGGCAGCTGTAGGAGAGACACCACTTCTGAAGTTGCTGCACTAAATACAAAAGGCTTTTGGTCTTTTGTAGTGCAGGACTGTCAAGAAGACAATAAGAGCAAAACTTTTTTGTAATGGAGAATAGATGAGTTACCAGATGTGCCCAGCTGCTGAAATTTCCTACCTCAGTGTGAATTTGAATATTAGCAAATAAAGTGTGTGTATATATAACAGATATGTATATATGTATGCACACATTGCATTAAAATTTCGCACCAACTCATAGAGATTTGTGTTTCCCGTAAAGCGCTGGTTCCGCGTGGCAGGGAGGGCCGAGACGCCGGCGTTACTTTGAATATAAATTTATCAACCAATTATTCTTTCTAAAAGAGAGACAATTTTAGATGCAAGGACAGTGATCAGTAAGGTGTCTTGGTCGAGTACCGTGTTTCCCAAAGCGAGGGGGGGGTTTCGGTTTTGTCCGGACCGTTTGTGAGGCTTCGCTCGGGAGGTGTCTTTGCCCCTGCAGAACATGGCCACGAGGAAGTGAGTTGCAGGCAATTTCTCAAGCTTCATGCATTAAATAGGTAACGCAAAGCTTTCTGCTTTTAAACTGTTTGTTGGAGGAGGTGACAAGCAGCGCTGAGCCGGGAGAGCCGTTGAAATTGTTCTTCAGGGTGCTTTTGCTCATTAAGTACTCGGGCTTTTTCTAGCTCTAAATTCATTCGGTAAGTGTTACGCTGGCTGGATGTGCACATAATTATTTTAACTGTCTTGCTAAAGAATTCATCTTATTTTCCTAGCATGGCAATTTTCCTAGCCATGATGTGAAAATATCAAATAAACTACAGAAGTCGTTTGTGTATCGTGGTGGCGCCTGGAGGGCAGGAAGCGCTCGGCTGGCAGCGCGAGGCTGACGGGTGTTCTCTGTATTGTTTGCTATTTTCTCGCCCCTCCTTTTCCCGTAGGAGGTCTGTAGCAGTGCCGTGTCCCTTCAGGATGCCTTTGACAGCATAATGGTAACCGTTCTGAGACCATACCTTTTTTTCTTCTCTTTCTTTGTTCTTTCGCACAAGCATTCATTTCTTTCGGCGCACAAGCTGCAGCCCTCGCTTTCGGTGCGAATGACACGCTTTGGGCGCGCTCCTGACCTCGGCGGCGGGGGGTGCATGCGGGAGGGCGGCGAGCACGCTGGCGCACCTAGGATATTTTTCTACAAATATGTCCAGTAACTGGCTCATTGATTTATTATTTTCCTTTTCCAAAAGCGTTGTGTTTCTGGCAGTGAAAGATTAGAGTAGCTGTAAGACGCTTCCGACACCATGGACGCTTAAGCGTGACTCCTGTTTTTGCGTTTGGCCCTCGCCCCCGTGCTGCTGGCCGGTTCTGCTCCCGGCTCTGCCGGCTTTTGCCGTGACATACATAAAACGGAGCGAAGGCCGG